AAAAAACCTCCTTTCAGTTCTGCAAAATGAAAAAGTTCTAGAAAGCTGTTGTATAACGATGTGCATATAGTTAACACTAATGTACTCTGTGGTTAAAAATGGTTAAGACAGTAAATTTCATGTTACTTGTTTTTACCACAAAAAAGACACCACCCCTAAAAAAAACAAAAACAGCAACACTTTTAAATTTCACTTCTTGAGCTAATGCTTTCATCTCTAGATATTTGTCCAAAGAAAATAAATGTACATGTAAACATTATGCACAGTGGTATTTTATCAGAACATTGTTTATAATATAAAAAATTAGGTAAAAATAAAATGTCAAAAATATGACATTAATTGTATAAATTGTAAAACATCTGTTTGATAAGATGGCATGCAGCTACCCAAAATTATGTTCTCAAAGAATTTATTTAAAGATATGAAAAATGCTCACCATATTTTTTTTTTAAATCAAGTATATTATATACTGAAAACTACAAAACTGAAAGAAAGAGGTAAATAAGTGGAAATATATCTTGCATTCATGGATTAAAAGGCTTAATATTGTTCAGATATCAATACTACCCAAAGTGATCTACAGAGTCAATGCAATCCCTATCAAAATGCCAATGATGTTTTATGCAAGAAAGACCCATCCTAAAATTAATGTAGAATCTCAAAGGATGCTAAATATCCAAAACAATCTTGGCGGAAAAAAAAGAACAAAGCTGGAGAACTCACACCTCTTGATTTCAAGACTCACTACAAAGTTACAGTAATCAAAACAGTGTGATACTGGAATAAAGAATAGAGAACCCAGAAGCAAACCCTCACTTATATGTCAAATGGTTTTTGACAAGGTTTCAATGGAGAAAGGACAATCTTTTCAACGAATGATACATGGAAAGCTGGTTATCCACATGCAAAAGAATGAAGTGGGAGGCTTACCTTATATTATATACAAAAATTTCTAGATATTAAAAAAATAGGTATAGGTAATAGATAAATTGAACTTCATCAAAATAAAACCTCTGTACATCAAAGAAGACTATTAACAGGGTAAAAAAGGCAACATATGAAATGAGATAAAATATTTGCAAATCGTATATTGGATAAGAGATTGATATTCAAAATATATAAAGAATTCTTACAACTCAGCACCAACCACAAAAACAACAAAAACAAATTTAAAAACTCTATTAAAAATTTTGAATAGACAGTTTTCAAATGGCCAATAAGCACATGAAAAGATGCTCAATACCACTAATTATTCTGGAAATGCAATCAAAACTGTAATGAGATACTACTTCACACCATTAGGATGGCTATTATAAAAAAAATTAGAAACAAAACAGAAAATAGCAAATGTTAGTGAGGATGTGGAGCAGTTGGAAACCTTGTGCATTGCTGGTGGGAATGTAAAATGGTACAATCACTGTGGAACACTGCATGATAGTTCCTCAAAAAATCGAACGTCTAATTACCACGTGATCCAGCAATTCTACTTCTAAGCATAAACCTGAAAAAACTGAAAACAAAAACTCCAACAGATGTTTGTACACCAATGTTTATAGCAGCATTACTTATAATAGCCAAAAAGGTGAAAACAATCCAAATGCCAATTGAGAGATGAATGGATAAACAAAATGTAGTATATGCACAGAACGGAAGATTATTCAGCCTTAGAAAGGAATGAGGTTTTGATAAATGTCACAACAGAGATAAACCTTGAAAACATTACGCTAAGTGAAATAAGCCAGACACAGAAGGACAAATATTGTATAATTCCATCTATTTGAGGTGTTTAGAATAGTGAGATTCATGAATACAGAAAGTAGAATAGTGGTTACCAGAGAATGGGGGAAGGTGAGAATTGTTGTTTAACGGGCACAGAGTTTGGGATGATGAAAAAGCTCTGGAGACGGGTAGTGCTGATGTTTGCACAACAAAGTGAATGTGCTGTATACCACTGCGTTGCACACTTAAAAACGGTTATAATGATAAATTTTATGTATGTATGTCTTCACACAATTTAAAACATCTTTCATGAGCAATGAGGAAGAAAATCAATATTTTATCAATATCACTTCTTAATTTTGATAATTGTACTGTGGTTGTAAGAAAACATTAAAATAAAGTGTATTTTAGGGACTTAAAAAGGAATTAAAAAGCATTTAATATTGATTTTAAATTTCTTATAGTAGTCTTACTTTATAATGAGAATAAAAAGAATAATTAACATTTAAACATTTTTTTCTATTAGTATTTTTCCCTCCTGGGGCTTCCTCCGTCTTTTTCTCTTTATTCATTTCATTCTAATTTCCTTACATCTCAAAGCTTACACTCAGAAACCTGATAATATTTCAAGGTCCTCTTTAATCCTGGGAATTTGTGCTCTGGATACACTTGTGCTATAGGCAAAGATTGTTGTGTGCTTTCCTTCACCCAAGCTTCCTTGTATATTGCCCCAGTTGCAACTAGCTGCTATCCTATGGTTACCAGGGACACAAGATGCAGGCTGATGCAGATGCTAAATGTGAAGGGAGACAGAACATCTTGGGGCCCTGGTGATGCTGTTTAGCTACTGAATCAACCATCCCTAAATCCGGTGCCTCCTGGGACTTCTTGCCATGTGAGCTAATAGATTTCCATACTGCTTGTCTATTTGGTAGAGGCTTTCTGCCACTTCCGCTCTAATGTATCTTAACTGATTTAAATTCTTTTTGGCCAACAATTAGAGTGAATTTTGATCAAACTTTGAAGGATGAACAGCTCACAAGGAAGAAGGTGGGGAAGAATGACCCAGGTGAGGAAAAGATGTGAGCAAAGGCACACATATAATGTTGCTTGGTGTGCTAGGACTCAAGTGAGGTGGGAGTAAAGGGCAACTCAGGTCAAGTAACAGGAGATGAAGTAGACAGGCTGGGGCCAGGTTCTTAAAGGAAGTGGAATTTTCCCCTGTGGGCAGGGCAGAAACATGGAAGGTTTCATCAGGGAAATAACATGACCAGATCAGTATCTGAGCACGTAAATAGTCATCATTTTCCCTTTCTTAAACCTTAGCAATGAGAGCATAAGTAAGACAGAACAAGAGGTAAGAGAAGAATCGACATAAGTATTATAGTGTCCTGCTTCCCTATAACCTTATACATATAGTCTTCCAAAACACACACACACAGTTTATGTAAATGATTATATAAATATATATAACTATGTGTGAGTGTGTGCATATATACAGAGAGAGAACACAACTCTAAGTTATCTTATGTATTTAATTTAATTCTTGGTTGTTTGTTTGCAATGACCTCCCAGCAAGAATCTGTAAACTAGTGCTTTCATTACTTTGACAAGAATCTTCCTGATTTAACAATGGAAAAACTCTGATCTCTGAGCTGTGAGCTCTGGGTTCCAATGCCACCTCTAATATTAACTATTTGACATTAGAATCGGACTTTAGTTTTCCCTTACATAAAATGGGTTATCTAGGTTAGATGATCTCTATATCTCAAATATGTTAAACGTCATATGACTTTGTTGTTCTGTAGTAGTTTTCTTTCTTCCTTCCCCTTTCCCTCCCTTCCTCCCTCCCTCTGTCTTTCTCTCCCTCTCTTCCTCCCTTCTTCCCTACCTCTCTTTCCTTCCTTCCTTCCTTCCTTCCTTCCTTCCTTCCTTCCTTCCCTTCCTCCTCCTCTGGCTCCTCCTCCTCCTTCTTCACATTTTCAATTAGGAATTATTTTGGAGACTCTGAATAAAATTTTAAACAGTAACCTCATAAAAATTCACATATACTCTATATCTAGAAATGTGAGTTGAACTACAAATAAAAGAATACTCAATTAGTGTGGCATAAACATATGTGTGTTTATTTTACTCCTATTACAAGAAGTCTGAAGGTAAAAGATCGCTGGCATTGCCTGTTGGTTAATTTTATGTGCCAACTTGACTGGGATAAGGGATTCCCAGATAGCTGGTAAAACATCATTTCTGGGTGTGGCTGTAAGAATTTTTCCTGGGGAGATTAGCATGTGAATTCTTAGACTGAGTAGATCGCCCTCACCAATGTATCGTCCAATCTGTTGAGGGCCTGAATAGAACAAAAACATGAAGGAAGGAAGAATTTGCTTTTTCTGCTTGAACTGAAACATCCATCTTCTGCCTTCAGAAATGGAGCTCCTGGTTTCCAGGCCTTTGGATTCAGACTAAATTATATCAATAGTTTTCCTGGTTCTCCTGCTATAGGTTGTGGAACCTCTTGGCCGCCATAATTACCTGAACCAATTTCTGTAATAAATATCCTCATCTATATCTAGATACATCTCCCCTTGGTTCTGTTTCTCTGGAGAGCCCTGAGTAATAGACACTGGTGTGAGGGCTTGACCACATTGAGGCCAGCAGTTCTGAGACTGTGGTGTTTCCTTCGTCCTTGTTACCTCTTGGGTGTAAATATCTAAAATAAGAGGGAATTGCAGCATCGGGAGCAGATACTACTCCCTTTCATCATAAAGGCAAAAGTTTTTCCAGAGCCATCTCTTTATCAGCACTCTGCACTTACATTTCAACGTCCAGAGTTTCATTGACCACCTCAGCACCAAGGGAGTCTGCCAGAGATTTGTGAACTTGACTTTTCATACAATTTAGGGGATCTTTTGAGATCTGTGGTGGAACCCAGCTTCAGAATCCGTGATTTAAAGAGTGGGTTATGCTATCTCTGAATCTCAGCTTTCAGATCCTCACTCCTCAGAGATAAACTGAAATCTGAACAGGTTTCCGATAATCTCATTTGTAGCAACAACTTGTTTAAAGGCCAGAGAATTGAACGAGATAATGTATTATGAAAGTGTTTTTTGCAAACTGTAAAGTTCTGCTTAATATGAAGGCATATTTCTATTATGAGAACTTTCTTTGTTACCTATGGATCACACATCTTGGGTTCCACTTGCATTGTGTGTGTGTGTATGTGTAAATAAAAGAAAAATAAAATAAGAGTAGGATAAAAGAAAAAAACAAAAGCAAACCAGTGCCAGAAACACACAGAAAATATTTTATTAGTTTCCAGACTGAGAAATGATGAAGAATTTATTTTAATAGAAATCCATGACTCTCCTCAAAGAGCCCACTCTGGCACTTGTGGCCCCCCAGTCATGGTACCGCCTGTAGTCCCCCGGCCTCAGCAGGTACTGCCGCCCCCGGTAGTTGGGCATCTCGTAGAGGACCCAGGAGCCCTCCAGAACATTGAGGGAGTAAATTTCATTGGAGTGGAAGCGGTCCTGAAGAGAGGAGCAGTCCTCCGTGAACTCCACCATCTGGCCTCTGTAGTCTTCCCTCTCATAGAGTCTGATCCGGTGGGAGCCAGCCTGGCTCATCCCAGGATGGTAAGAGGAGAAAAGCAAACCGTGAAACGACTCCAACATATTCCTGCAGTCTCGTTGTGTGGAGACCAGCTCAAGCCATTTTGAAATACATGGTAAAATTTAATTAATTTTGAATATTTATATATTCTCCGTTTTCAAAGGTGGTAATTGGGTACCCTTTCAAGATAATAAAGTGTGATTGAATGAATTAAGAAGGAAATCTCACTCTTTAAAATATTCAACTATTTCCCAGGACAAACTACTAACCATCCTAACCGTACCAACCAGTATACCATACCACAGAGAAACCCAAATCTTTAACTGTTTATCACTATTTTTGCCATTTTGAAGAAATATTTTTAATTTTTCAAGCATGTGTGCTTGAATACTAAAGTCAGTTTATGAAATGAATGACCCTGCACTGAGTTTAAAATAAATCTTGGAAAAAAATCACCAATGGCTTGGATATTTCTGTTGAAAGCCAAGGTAAATGTCTTAAGTATCTCAGGCAATAATCGATCCTCATTTAATAATTTATAAATAGAACGAGGGAAAATGAGGGGAAAAATCAGTAAGCCCAAAGAATAATTTTTCAAAAAACGCAGTGTTTTAAAAACACATTAATAAAATATATGCGGCACATGTGTAAAATCTCTCTGTGTTGATTATCATTGAAAGAAAGTACTTTTATTTGTATAGGTTGGAAAAAAACTAAAATATTCAAGTGGGGAGTGAAAAAGGGAGGAAGTCTTTAAAAAAAAAAATTACCCCTGTAAAAGTTTCCTTTTTGATTCCTGTGTGCTCAGGAACTACCACGTATTCTAGTACTTCATTACTCTTCTATTGGATATTAGCAGTTTTCCTACAACTCCATTGTAAATGATGCCTGGACAGACTTCTATCATACCTAACCAGGGCAGCCAACACATTCTTCCTCAATAAATATGTTTTGATTAATTGGTACCTGGGTAAACTTCACTTTTGTTCAGGGCAAACTATATTGAACTAATCTACCATAGCTTATCTTTTGTCCAAACTCTCAATTATTCTGAGCGATCACTACTCCAAATGTTTAACCTTTGCCTTGAAACTCTCCATTGTGTCCCTAGGGCCCATTTCTGATATGGAATTGGACTCACGTGGGGGATGAGGCGGCAGGAGCGGACCGAGTCGCTGAGGCCCATCCACTGCTGGTAGTCGGGGTAGTCGCCGCGCCGCAGGAAGTACTGGCAGCCCAAGTAGTTGGGCTGCTCATAGAGCATCCAGCAGCCGCTGTCCACGCGCACCGAGTTGCAGCGGCTGAAGTAGGGCTGCAGGTTGGAGTGGTCACTGCTGCACTCGTAGTGGCGGCCCTGGAAGCCGCGGTCCTCGTAGAAGGTGATCTGCAAGGAAGGCAAGGAGACGCTCAGAGGCCTGGCCCCCGCCCCCCGCCCCCGTCGCCGGGGCCCCTCCCGGCCTGGGCGCGGGGCTCACCTTCCCCATGGCTGGTCGACACGGATGAAGCGAGTTCAGTGGATGCGCCCGCAGGGCGGCGGGTCTATATAGCAGGCCGGCTGCTGCGTTGGCAGGAACAACACAAAAGGGGCCCGCGGGGTGAGGAGGGGATTTTCGTGTTCTCTTTTTTCTCTTTGCTGTCATAGTCCACAGGGCTCATTGTGGGGTTTGGTCCCATTCTCTCTGGAGCATTCGGGTTGCTATCACTGGTTGATGCTATTGAGACAGTTTTAAAAAAAGTCATTTGGGACATTGTCTATTTAATAATAGAAATAGAAATTCAGCCATTTTATATATAGTCTAGACTTTCATTTGTATAGGTTGGGGAAATACAAAAAAAGTGTTAAGTGGGAGAGCAAAATAGAAAGGGTCTTAATATGGTAAATATAAAATAAACTGTAAGAACTATCATATTACTTATGTGCCACAATATTGAATGCTAATTGTTCATAGAAGAAAATGACCCTAACTGAATGTTGAAATTTTCAGATTAGTCCTATAAGAGAATTTCCTCATTAAAAGGTATAAGAAATTGGAATGTTTACCAAGGGAGTTCACAGAATTTCAAGCTTTCGGTATGGTTAAAAAAAAAAGAAAAAAAGAAAAAAAACCCAGCAAGCACAGATCTTCAGTACTTGGTTCGAGTTTGATTTTGTTGCAGTCATGCTTAAAAGTAGACTGAGAATTGGTTGTTTTATCTTGGCTAATTGTGATTCAAAAGGGAGAATAGTTTTAAGATGCTTCATCTCAGAAAGAAGAACTAACATGGACATTTCTAAGTTTAAAGAAATAAGAAAAAGTAGTATCTTTAAAACACAAAAGCAGATGGCCTCTTAGGTTATTATAAAATAAAACCCAAAATTTAACAAACCCCTTCTGATTGATCTAGAGATATCTTTGTTCTTGGGAAAAAGAGCACACAAAGCTATTGACTCAGGAGATAAATTACATGAAGATAAAGAGGAGCTCTG